ATGCAACGCTAATGAGGGTGAGTTTCATCAAAAATTCCTGTACGAAAGTAAATTTCTCCCAATACTTGATCCAGGACTTCTTTTGTGTTCTGGGTTGGGTTCAAAATTAAAAGTCTACAGAATTGAACATTGGTAGTCTTACAACCCGCTTCCCGTGCCACAGGTCCTGGGTTCGATCCTCAGGACGGGCAAGGTTGACTCAGCCTTTCATCCCTTCAGTGGGTCGATAAATGAGTACCAAGTATGCCTGGAAACTAAACACTGGGGGCTTCGCGTTCGGTTGACCACCTAAACGGAATATCTGCTCCTGCACCCCAGAGCCCAAGGTCAAGAAAACTGAGATGGGCACAGAAGGCCTTGGCCCTCTATGAGCTGTCGCGCCACTTAGTTTTGAGTAAGAGAGACTGACAGTAACACACCACTCCAAATAGTGCCGCAGCATTAGCAGCCATTTTAAGAATAAAATTGTAAAATTTGGCATAATTATGAGTAAAATTTTCTTATCTTCCATACTTGCGTCTGGTGATAAAAATATGAATATTTCGGACACATTTATTAAACGCAACAGTCAGTTATTAATTAGTATAAAAGATGCCGAGCCGCAGATTTTCGAAATTAAAACTGCGTTCGCAAAAGGCTCAATACTTTAAAGACAACCTAATAATAACATGAACACCAGTGTGCAATGTTTACAAATAACCGACTTTACATAGTTCCCTAGCATGCACCTGCAAAACCATTTTTTTTTCTTTTTAAATATAAACTGAAGCTCACGGGAGAAAGATATGGCAGTCTAGAGAGTAAACAACCTCAGTCAACCTTTTTTATGCATTTTTTTACGCTTGTCATGAAACGAATAACAGAAAACCTTTTATTAATAATACAAAAAGGTTATACCGCCATTTTACTTTAAGAGGGGAAAAAATGTACAGGAAAAATATATAACAAATGACCCCGTTGTCCAAGTAAACAGTGAGCATGGTTTTTTTTTTTTTAAGTCAATCGTGTCTACACAGTAGAGAGAATTTGATGAGCAAATTGGCATCAAAAACATTTTCCAAATTGTTAAACAAATTGATTAAAAATTTCGCAACTAAATTTCATTATACTGGCAACTAGGAAAATTTCTGGTCGATACAATTAAGCGGTCTAAGTAACTGGACGAAGTCTGTATCGGTTAAAATAAACATAAGTAATAAATTTAAGTTAGCAATTATTGAAGGCATTTATGTTTCGGTAGCCATGATATTTCTCAAAATGGCAAAAGTCAATTTTGTAGGTCGAATTTTTTGGTGTTTATAGTTAAAAAAAAAATAAGGAAAATTTAAATGAGTAAAATAATAAGTGAAGATTATTTAGATTATTGGTAAAAGCACAAATGCTGACAAAAATTTCTCATTGGGAGTCAGTTGAAGAATTAAATTACTTTGCCGTTTGGCACACTGGAGCTACATTCCATCTCAGCAATGCAAATGCTCGTTAGTTTCACCAAATACTTCCTCAAAGAGAAGTTAGTCTCAGTACTTGGTCTTTTGAGTCGGACTACAGATTCAACATAATAGAGATAAACGTCCTTATTTTCGAGAAATGTATAATTTAATACTTGGTTATTTGAAGGTAATTTGTAAGCAAGGTTAATTTTTAGAGATGATATAAAAGGGTTCCCACTCTTTCAACAAAGCAAAAATTAAGCACTTTTAAGGACTTTTTTCTGAAACAATTAAGTACTTTTTTAAAACAATTAAGGACTTTTTAATGTCAATCAGATTGTTAAAGTTAGCATATGAAACTAATCTGCATTCCATTTTTAATGACTTCATTGAAATTTAGTTGTAAAATTAAGTGCAGAAATTAAGATTTGCAATTTTTTTCATGTATATTAAAAAAAAAGAGTAAATGAAGAAATTTGTCAAAAATATTGAAAAAATTGTTTCGACAAATTTTTATATTTCGCTTCTAGACCAGCAAATTTGTTACATTTACTGTTATGATGAACTTAAACAAAATCATTTTTAGCCAAACCTATTATTAGGAAACTTTACATAATGTAAATAAACATTTTGGCGAATAACATGAATTTTAAAGCAACCAAAAATTTGAACAAAAATTAAAAACAGTATATTAAGTTGCAATGTTAACTGAATAAAACGATTATTAAAAATCAAAGGATCTTTTAGTTGAGTAGATTCAAATTTTTATGCAACAATCTGCTTATCCTTAAGAAATAAAAATAATAGCGTAACAATCTAAAACTATAAAAAAGAATTTTTGAAAAATACTTGGTTTTCATCGAAAACCCAAAAAACCCCATGTTTCTGATGAAAAACCTAGGTGGGCTGGGATTTTTCAAACCCTGTTTCTTACAAATCTGTTTAATTTTTAGTACGAGTTCTTGACAGGAAGTCGTAAACCGATCGCTAACCGTGACCGCGTGTAATTTCATATGTACTTTTATAATCACTTCATATTTATTATAGCTAATAATTTTTTTCTATACCACAAGTTTGGTTTTTTGTCACAAACTGTATTTTTCATATTTCTGCTGTATCTTCCTTATTTGTGAGTGTGGTAAAATAAAATTCTTGCATTTTTCATTTCTATAAAACGAAGTTTATACATTTGGGACTTTTTTTTTCTTACTGCATACTATCTCAAAATTTATAAGACTGGTTAGATATTTAAAAAAAAAATTGGGCGATACATATCAGGCAGAAGACTTATCATATTTTTCTTCAGCGAGAAATGATACTTGATGATTCGATGAGTGTCATTCCTCGAAGCCTTACTTCATCAGCAATGAGTCCTGTTATGAGTTCAAAGAGTAACTTGTACTCGCTTCACATTTTCGTCTGTTTTTTTGGTGTATAACTACTGGTGTGTTTCTTATTTCCCGAACATTGCACAATGGTTATGGTATGTATTACATTAAAACAATTACAAAGTACAAAATTTAACAGGGCTGCCAGTGAGGTACCATTGATAAAAATTATGTAATTTTACTTCTTATTAATACTTAAAATAGCATTTTCAAATCGACAACTACAATAAAACAAAAATAATAAAATTGAACCATCTAAGTGCGAAATATGTGGATCGATTTTTGACGCATGAATAAGAATAATAACGAGTTTATCTCAAAAAATATTTCCCTTTTATTACAGAAAAAATAATAAAAGAAAGTTTAAAAATTTTTAAAAGAAAATAGGAGGATGATTCCGTATGCATCTTGAAGAGGATCAATAACGAGCAACGTGCTCCTTGTCTAAAATACTAATTGGAAAGAAAGGAAAAACTAAACAATCTTTCTCTTTTGGCTACTTCTCTTAATTAACCCAACAATATATCTTTTTATAGTAAAACAGCAATAAATTGATTGCTTTTTACGAAGAAAAGAACAAGTACAAACAAAACAACGAAGGGAGAACTTGAAAAAGGAATTTCAAAAATAATAACGAAGAAAAAAGTATTTTTAGTGTTCTATTTTGGTAGGTTATATTTGGAACTATTTTTAAATTATTACAAGTGAATCATTGAATTTGAATAAATGTATTGAAATAAAGTCTTGCTCAGAGGTTACAAGTGAATTATTATAAGTGAAACACTGGATTTGAATAAATGTATTGAAATAAAGCCTTGTTCAGAGGCTTAAGTCCTGCTAGAAATTAAACTATTATTTTTATCTTTGAAAACTAAATTACTTCATTTTTATACTTTTAAAAGGGCAACGTATACACCCTTGTAAACTACCTCAAAATTTATTTTTTGTGTTAAAACATTACTCTAGGTATTTTAAATAGCACTTTGTATGTAGCCTCAAAAGTCAAATATTAAATATACTCTTTTTTTACATTGAGTATGCGAGAAAAACTTTTTATAACTATAAGAATTCAAATTTAAGGTATTCGGCCGGTTTCGGCGAATTTATATATTTTTTTATTCGATTAAAATTTTATATTCGATTAAAATTTTATATTTTATGCTTGGCAAGCAAGCAGGGGTTCTAAAATTTTAAATTTAAAAATTTGTGAAATAATTTTTCAAAATAATGGCAAGTTTGAACTTAAAAACTACAAATTTTTCATGTCACGCTAACAGCTCCACAACAAATTGTAATGCATAAGTTTCAAAATATTTTTTTTTACAGATCAATCATATGGTTACCTATGTTTTGAACTAAAATCCTGAAATTAAAAAAAAAATTAAATAGCTTTTAGTTAAAAACAACGCTAAATTTATACAAAATCTACATTTAAAATTTGAAGAATTCTTAAATAAACTTTTTTTTTGTAATGTGTGTTAAAGTAAAGAAATTTTCTCAAAACCAACGTTCTCCGGAAAATGCCTTTAAAATGCAAGAAAATTTTAAACGTAAAAATATTCTGACACCACAACAATTAAAAATCCGAAAATTTCATTCTGAAAATAAATTTTATTTATCATATATATATATATATATATATATAATTTATTCAAATAAAAAAGGTTCCAATATTCGAAGCAAAACAAAAAAAAATTTAGTTTCGTTTTCGTGAGTTTAATTTTGGTTTAGTTTCACCTGACAACATACGAAAAAATAACTTCATTTCTAAAAGTCGGAGATTAAAATTTTAAGGGTTTGGGAAAGCTAATGAATAAAAGTTTAAATATGAATAACAAAATAAAGTCTAATTTTTTTAATCGTAATTGCTGATTTTCACCCAGTCGGATACCTATAAAGAAAAGTTGATGTATTATTCGAAAATTACCAGTTTATCTAAGCAATATCCAGATATCAATTTAGCTATAAATCACTTTGTGCTCACAAAAAAAACAGAATAAATGTGAAGTTGCTTTAAAAAAAATTATAATTAACGAAAAAGATGTTTAAGTATTTTAATACCAATACTATTTTTTTTCTTTTATAAAATCTTAAATGAAAAAAGCAAAGTGTATTTTTTTCTGCAAGCAAATACAAATTTTAGAGTAATTTCTTATGCAAAAATTTGCTATGAAAATACAAAATTAATTATGTTGCAATTGAAATTAATATGTGGCTTAAAAAACCAATTTGATGTCTTCAAAGTTCTTATTTTTTTAGTTCTAATATGGAGCCAAGTTAAAAGTAAATGGAAGTACAGATTTATCATTCTGTAATTATGCTTCATTTCAAATATTTTTCCCCTTAAGAATATTCTGTTTAAAAAATCAATCAGATGTTATGCATTATATAAAAGTTACATCAAATCTTAAGATTCCTTAAAAAGATGAACTAAAGGAAAACAAAAAAAACTTACATATTAAAGTTTTTACACAACAAAACATCAAATGTAAAGAAGTGAAAAAGTAAAATCTTATCTGCCATTATACTTGAGAACGCTTTAACTGGAGAAAAAAATTTATATACATATCAGTTCCAATCACTCATGTCAAAATCAAAAACCAAAGGCTTAAGGAATCCTTGTCTTCTGGGTTAGGTACGACGGAGTTGAACTTAGATAGTCGTAAGGTCAAAGTATTTATCGTAAGGTCAAAGCCGGTTATAAAGTAAAATCTAAATAAGCATTGTTCACATAATTTGACCAGATTTCAGTGACCCCAAGCAGCCCTGTGACATTTAAATACAATTAATAAGAATTAATACAAAAAGTACTTATCCATAATATTCCGTTAACATCAGGGTATGGCATTCACTTTCTGAGAATCAGGTTGCGTAGGCCAGCTTTCAAAACAAGTTGAGACTAGACGAATCTAAAATATGCCAAAGTAAAATAAAATTTCAAAAAGGAAAACGTTCAATTTTTTACTTTGTTTGTAATTAGAACTTCATAACAAAACTCATTAAGGACAAGGCATTTAAAATTTTAAGTTATAGATATCTCATTACCCCAGCGAAGATATTGTAAGTAACCTTAGTAACTGTAAAATAACTTATGTCTGAAAGGAAAAAAATTAATAGTCGCAATCGACCACTGGGCAACTAAATATGACAAATGGGATTTTTAAAAAAAATTGCATCCCATGTGCACTTTATTATTAATTTTAATAAGTATGAAATTATTGTGAATTTTTTATAATATTTTAAAAATTACTTTATTTCAAGAAGTTTTCTTAAAATTTTTCCTTCATTTTTAATAGTTGCTCAATGTTTTTAAAAAGAAATCGAGATGAAAATTTACATGTTACATTAAGTCATGTTTATATTTTTACAGTTTTAAAATTCTTAGTAAATATATTGCTGTGTTAATAAGTTTCAGGGATCAAAATCATATTTCTACTTCTTTCGAAATGCAATAAATTAAAATTACAACACTCATAAAGCGACATTTTAAAAATCTTACAATTATTCGTATTTTGCAGTATAAGAAAAAAGGAATATTTTCTTATACTACAATTTTGTTTTATACTTCAGTAAATAGTATGGAATTTTTCGGAAAAATGAAAATTCTATACCAATTCCTTACATTAAAACACTATATTCAAAAACACATTTTATTTTAATCCCGCAAGTATATTTCGGAATTTTAGTTTATGACTAGGATTTTTTGCGCGATTTCTTTTATGATTAAATTTTCATAAGTATTCTATGCATGTTTTGTATGCATTCCCGTATGTTTCTAGCAACAGTACTTAAGTTTGTTACTTATATATTTTTTCATACCGATGCAGGTAACAGAAAACTCTGAAATGACCTGTAACGTCGTGAGAAAAACGTTACTTCTTAGAATATTCCTTGAGATAAGGTAAGAACCCTTATTATACTAAAAATAATTGCTCACGAAATAACATAGATTTAGTAAGAAAAATTCTTATTACTCCTGTAGCAGTAAAATTAAAATCAAAGATTTTTTTTAAAAAAAAATATCAAGCGATTTAACTCATTTGTGCTTGGCGTCCTTTTGAAAGTTTTCAAAAAGAAAAAAGTGATAGCACAAGCGTCTCAATTTCACGAATTATTTTGTAGAAACTAGATAGTTCTATACATTAATTATGTATAAATATTTATGTTTCGATCTCAGTTCATCGAATAGTTCTTTTCTTAAGTCGTTGGCAACAGAATGAAATATCCACTTGATGCAGTGTAGATAAATGTGCGCTATAACTTTTTTCACCCAAGTAGTTTTCATATATAGACTACTATTTGTGGCTAGGCATTACTGGATTAAATCATTATTTAGTACTTAGCTGAATTTTAAACTTTACTTAATGAAAAATATAAGAAAACAGTGGGAGAATATATTTTTAAAATACTGTCTAAGTCTACTGTCTAGTGTCTGAAATTAGATGTGGAATTATAAACGCAAAACTTTGAAGGAAAAAAAATGGAACGAAGAAGGTGGTGGAAAAAAGATCATATTACATTCTGACATAGGAAGGGCAAGTGGAAAGAAGAAGCTCAATGAATTATTTGTTGATTAAATATTATCTGAATCTATGAGAACAGTAGTTCCCAAATTGTGTTCCGAGGAACCCTATGGTTCCTCGGTATGAATTATGAAAAGGATATGTATTTTTAAAAAATTCTTTTACTATTTCGCATCGATTAAAATTAACCAAATTCCACAATAAAGAAGTCTGTTTCCCTGATAATCAGTTTCAACGTTTATTTCTTTCTTTTTATTTTTCCGTTTTCATTTTAACGGAAACCATATTCCAGCTTTTTCATTTTCAGTCTATGCATGCATTGAAATCAAATTAAGACTTATACTAGATGCTACTCTAAAACAGTGAATTCAACCATCAGACGTTAAAAACTTCATTTTAAGACTAATTCTGATAAAACGATAAAGAGAAAAGATTTCATTCACTAAATATTTTTTAAATATTTAAAAGTCTTTCGTTAATTTATGTGTTTTTAAAAATGCTAAATAAATTTATTCATTTAGTCTCGGCGTTCCGCTAAAAGAAGGTCGATTATTTAGGGTTCCACAGCCGAAAAAATTGGGAATAGCTGCATTCGAAAACCGCCTTCGATTTCGATCAACAACAAAAAATAAGGAAAAAACTTTAATGTAACAAATGCAATTACAATTTCAGAGAGTCAAAATTCATTACTCAGTTTTAAAAGAAGAAAAATTTGCTTTTTATTCTAGAATCCTAAAAATGTGAATACATTAATAATATGGAGTATGCTTGTAATACTGAGTATGCTTGCAATTGCTAAAACCTACAATTGAAATTTTTAAAACGATTATCGTATTGTCCTAAAACCTAAAAATTCCAAATAAAATTTCATTTCTTCAATATGAGAAGCTTCTGTATTAATTAATTACATGTGTAAACAACTGCATTTAAAAAATCTCAATGTTTAAATTTACAGCAGAGCACTAAAACAAAGGTGTAGTATTTCAGTTGCATTTTAGATTTTGATAAAAACGAGCTTAACATTTATTTAAAATTATATCGATGCATAGTTTTTATTGCGAAACAGTGCAAAAACTAATTGAATTGAATAAATCCAAAATTTAACTTAATCGCCATAAATAAAAATCTTATTTCTTTTCAAACTTGGAAAATAAAATGTTCAATTTTACAAAATTTCAATTTCATCTAAACACGCCTAAGATTTGTTACCAGATTTTTTGTATTTCAAATTTAACATCGTTAAATCTATCAAATAATTAAAGAAACATAAAACTCACCAAATTTCCTTAGTAAAGAGTGTTAAACTGTAAAATCTTAAATTTCGAAGCGTCGATTTTCTAATATGAAAAAACAACTCGATGAAAGGGAAAATACGTCAGAAAATGCATGTGTATGTATAAGATTTTTGCTGTCATTGGTTAAAATAGCATTGAATACGTCCTGAACATAAATAATTAAAGAAACCGTCTAGAAATCTACCCCCCCCCCTCAAAATAGAGAGGTAGACAAAATTTTGAAAAAATTGGATCAAAATTTAGGGCTGTAATGAAATTTTATATATTTGGCGTCGTCCCAAAAAGATGGCAAGAATTATCACCATAGCAGAATTAGAAATATAATATAGAGAAATACTCCGTTTCTAAGCAACCAAGCTAAGAGAATAAAAAATGAATGAAATAAAAACTGAAGCTATTCTTCGTTTTATGTTAGCTCGGGTCGGAAATGCTTTTTTTTTTTTAAAAAAAATAGTTCATAGAAAATACCTTAAAGTTACTAGGCAACAGATTTGTTTTTAATTCATTGCTGCCCAAAAAGTAAAGGTTGCTTTCGTTTTAATTTCCTTTAAAAATAAAATTTGAATTGACTTATAAATTATTTACAATTTTCCAAGAATTCAGTATTTGAACACCTGAAATTTTTATAAGGTACCATTTGTATTGAAATTGCTTTTAAGTTCTTTAAATACGAAGATTTTATACTAAAACTGAATGTGCATTATTTTAATTATATGCAGTGATGTAGGGCAAATCTCGAAAAAGATCCCGTAAAAACTGTAAAATATCTAGAAAAAATTATAACGCATATTCTTAACTTTTAATATATATTTCTTTTTTTTTTTTTTTACATTTCTCTACGGCGATATTTCTTTTTTATTATAATTGAAGTAATTAGTGAATGTTACGTGACATTTTAAAAAGATTAAAAAATATATTTTTGAGAATATTGTATGATTCATTTTTTTAAAGAATCATTTTATTCTACCAACAAATATGTGAGTTACGTGGCTTTGTTTAGATGAAGATAATTTGAAAATAGCGTCCTTTCTGCAGCAGGTTTTCGTAAATTCATCCAAAAATGTCACTCAACATGTTCAACAGTTACGATCACCAAATATTGCTACTATAATTTCTTTGCTTTTTTCCTTTTATTACAAACTTATTTCACGCTTCTTACCATCATTGCATACATATATTTCATACAATAGCCTCCTTTTAAAACAGAATTCGTAAGGTATTTAAGAAAATGTAATGGTGGCAGCAAAACTAGATAATACTAAAACTAGATAATACTAAGCTAACAGATATTTTAAAAAAATCAATTTCAATAAACAAATTAAAATATCTGGTAAAAATCTTAAGTTTTGAAATTTTAAATTTAAAATTATAAATAACTTTTATTTCAATATAGGTACCACAGTATTTTAAATGTTTTAAGGACAGCATGAACCTTGATGAAATAATAATTTACAAATGTTTGTTTCTTCCAGCATAAAGATTTGATCAAAATAATGATCAAGAAAGATCCATTATGATTGGTATATATAAAACAGAAATGTGAAGTAGCAATGAGAAAACATATATAAAAGTGGAAAATAAAACTGGAGAAACCGCAGTGCCCCAAAAGTGAAATAGAAAATAAATAATTAAATAAAAGAAAAACTGGAAAAACCGCAAACGTAGAGAAAGGCAAATCATAGCAAAATGCATTTCCACGCGCTTATTTTCCACCATGTGTGAGAACTAATATCGGCTAACAAGAGAATCGGCATTCATATGAACAAAATTTGGTGTGTGGCAATAGATTTATCGTATTCTTGAAAAGGGATTTCTATACCTTTAGTCTAAATGAGTCCTTCAGTCTTCTGAATTAGCGAAACATTTAATTCAAATGTTGTAATGTGAACTAAACATTTTCTTACAACATGTCGACTTTCATTTACATTTTCATATTTTTGGAAGATTATGAAATTTTTATATTCCCACTTTAGTTTCATTGGAATATTCATTTAATGACAAAGTGTATTAAATTATATTATTTAGTGTGATATTAAAATTAGTTTTAAATAGAATAATGGTTATGGATCTTAGATTGAAAAAAACATAGTAATATATAATTTATCAAACTGTGTAAAAAATTCAAGGCAATATTTTTTTTATTAAATAATTTTATTTTATTTTATTTTTATTTATTTTACTTTAATTTTTTATTTAGTTATAAATTTTTTGACTGCTACTCTGAAAAAAACAATTTTAGGTTGTTAAACAATTCCGTCTACAAGTGAAATTTCAAAATTCGAATGCAATTAGATGACAAAGTTAAGAAATTGGAAGTGAATTATTTCAAACAAGTTAACTTCTCCATCAAATTCAAAATTTTTGGGAAATATCTTTTATATTCAACGATCCAAAATCTATTCTAGATATGTTTTAGTGTATACTTTTAAAGACATATTTCAATAGAATTTTTATTTTACCCTTCATTTTATTTATTTTTTCTTAAATAACTCAACTTATACGAGTAAATGTATGAATTATAAATATGATGGTAAACGGGACACTACTTTTCCTCGTTTTTCTGCAGCTCTTAAACAAAATTAAAGAATATGTTTAATTTCTAATAATTTTAATAAGTTTAAATGTTTCCAACTGTTCCAAGCAATTAAATGTTACGTCCAAACGGATTTCAATTCTGGGGTTAATTAAATCATTGTCACGATTCAAACTAATTGCTAAACATATTAGTTGTATCTATAAAATAATTTGTTATTCAGAAATCTCCTAATACATCTTATTTTAGCATTAAGGAAATTATAAAGTTAGAGGGGAAAAAATTCTAAAAATAGCACAGTTTTGGAATCGTTTTACAATTTTCAATTTTTGCTGTTTAACAAAACAAGGCATATCGAAGCAAAAAAAATGCTTTGTAATTAGTCAGCTTTTCTGCATCGCATAATTTTAATCAGCAGAATATTTTTAATTTCTTAACAAGATCTCAGCCAGCTGGCAATAATTTTAAGTTTTCTTTTAATTAAAACTTGACAATAGTTTCAAAAGGAATTTCACTTAAAAGGAAAAATGAACTCAATTCCCAAAACAATTTATTAGCATATAAATGAGAAAATAATATACGTGGTAGCGTAAAGAATAAGACTTTGAGAAATGTTAAAATTTAATTAAATAGTTCTGCTAAACACGGGCAAAGAGATAATTAACAAATTAGTTTTAAGATTAAGACGATATAAAAGATGCTGAGAGATGCTTAATGAAGTAAGTGGTAAGATGCTTAAAAAAGTATTCGTATTTATAATTATTAAATATATATTGAAAAAATTGATAAACATATTATTCCAAATCAATCCATACGTTTGCATATTATTGAAATTGTATCAATTATTGAAAGAACAAGCTTAAAATAAAACTTTAAAAAAACTGATGTATGGTCACATTCTATCAGAAAACTAAACATTCGTTGAATAAAATGTTTTTATTCAATAAAATGATACATTCAAATCTCTTTATTAAATTACGAATAAAGAGTTTAGACGACTTAAAAAGAAACGTCGTATCTTATAATTTGAAAAAAAAAGCATTAGCAATCGGTTATTAGCAAACAAATTTTGAAATATTAATCTCTGCGCTGAGGTAAAGTTCATCTTGTAAGTTGACCACATTTAAATATTAATCGCCCCTTTTAAATATTTCTTCGCTTCTTGGAGCTAACCCACTTTTGGGTTACATGGAATACCACGAGAACCTCCCACGGTTTAGCCTACCGGCAAAGGGACTCAAACCCATGAACCTTCTACCACTGAGGATATTACACGTCAGCACTGTGGTCGGTGCAAGTCAGATGCGGAATTCGTATCGACTAGGATTCGAACCCGGTTCGCCTCATGGGACGGCGAAAACGCTCTATCTCCTGAGCCATCGCGGCTCAAAAACCAAAGTAATAGAAATGATTGATCTCTATTTGACACACTAATAGAAATTTAATATCTAAATATTTCACGAATTTAAAAAAGAGTTTTATCCCCCTCTTTCGGTAAATTTATATGAATAAGTTCTACATTTTTTCACATTAATGATAGCATTGGGTATTAAACAATTTATAGCACTGTAATTAATTTCTTTTAACATAAAATGAATATTACAATTAATAACAAAGAGTACTTACCCTGAGTGCTCAGTTAACTAATCCAATAGCTGTAGCTCAGTTAAGGCTCAGGTAAGTATGTAAGTAGGCTCAACTTTTCACAGCATATACAGTTCCGTCAAGCCACACAACAAGTTCCAATAGCTGTAGCTCAGTTAAGGCTCAGGTAAGTATGTAAGTAGGCTCAACTTTTCACAGCATATACAGTTCCGTCAGGCCACACAACAAGTTCCAGCAAAAGGAATTCCTAAAAAATACCAATACTTATTTACAAATGAAACATAACATATCAGTTCAATGTTGATTATTCACTGTGTTTTTAAGCCAAACACAAAATATATGAGGGAAAATGCAACTTATTTAAAGGGAACAGCTTTTTCCTTAATTAAAATTATATACGTAAATACATTAAAAAAAATGACCACAACGATGATGGCCCAAATATGTGGAATCAGATTTTAGAGGGATGGGGTAAAAAGACTTGTATTCTAGGTCAAAGAATAAATTGTCCAACGGAATCATCAACTGAAGGCTTTGGCCCACCTTTGGCTGTCACACCAAATAAGATGCGTAAAAGCACATTTAGATATTTTCTGCTTTCCTGTCAACTAGAAGCAGATGAAGAAAACACAAAATGTCTCGAAATAAAATAAATTAAAAAACGTTTATAAAGACTAAGTTATATCGTAACATTAAAATAACATTAAATCAATTTACTGAAGTAAGAATTATACATGAAAACAGTTTTACTACCCCTGGGAAATGTCAACCCATAAAACAGTAAGTTAGCATCCCTAAAACATTAACACAAACGCCAAAATTTTCATAAATAATTACAATAATATATGGTTAAAAATGAAACATGAAAAAAAAAAAGATTTTTAAAGGAAGTTTCTTTGATGAAAATTTTAGAAAATTTATTATTTTTTTACAGTAGATTAACATTATTTTTTACAGTTAAGTTCCATAATATGTTAAGTTCCAAATTGTAAAAAATACATAGTTTGGAACAAACAAATATTAAAATATTCGAGATACATAATTGTCGTTATTGTGTAAGAAATGTGATTTAAGATTTAAAAAAACAAAATTCAGATCAAGAGAGAGGAAGAAAATGAAAGAAATAAAACTTATAAATTGTAAAATATTTTTATCAGTTTTCTGAAATTTTGTTTCAGTTTTGTAAGCATTAGCAGTGGATATAGTTGTAAAGTCGCTATTATTGAAATCCTATTGTGAAGCACTTACGTTGTTTTTTAATTGTATGACAGGATAGGCAGCGTACATTTTGGAAATTGCAGGCTTCGTTTTTGGAAATTTACCTGACTTCTATTAACTCTACTAAATGCAATAATAAGACATTTATTTCGAGACGGCTAATAAAATATATGTTAGTTTTTACCTTAAATCACTCTTAATGTCGAGTAAATTGGTTTAGAGAAAAAGCTTTCATATACAGGGTGTTTTGTAAGAACCACCCTTAATTTTTTTCTAGACTCTTCGTTAAAAGCGAATACAGAAAAGTATACACCATTCAGGGATGATACAGCAAATAAGAAAAGGTCTCAGCAGAAATGGCATTTTGTCTCAGTAAAACAGTTCTTTGTCTCACTTTGTCTCCGTAAAATTATAGCTTTATCTCAACGGTGATTTCCAGTTTCTGGAATAATTTACGCAGTTACACAGCGTTTTATATTTGGTAGATAAAATTAACCATTTATTATTAAATATATCAATTCAATAATTATCAATCTCAATCAATTCAATATTCAATGGAAGACTGTAGAAATAGAATTTTAAGGGATCAAAATAAATAAATTTCGAGTCAAAGATTGACATTAGCTAAATATAAAATAAAATTTTTCTAAAACAATTTTGGAAAAGAGTTAAAAATTAAATAAAAATATATTTTAATCTTTTAAATAAATTAATATTATCTCAACTGTTATTTATTGTTTTTATCACAAATTATTTTTAAAAATAGAAAAATTTGAATATAAAAATTCACCATCAGTATATAAGAGGGGTGATACCCGAAATTTTAAAGGGAAAACAAGTTTACGCAGGAGACATATAGAATCATTGAGTATCTCCAAATTCTGCTAATGGAAAATTGTAAATTATAATTATAATTTTTATAAATGAGGAATTGATATATTTTAAATCTTATTTTGGGAAATTTTAAGAATTAAAGTATAAATGAATTAAATTCATGAAAATATTTTAAGCAATTAAAGTAATTGAGCCATTTTATTTTAAGTAATTAAAATAATAATAATAATATTGTAATTGCAAATTTCATAATATTGTAATTTTATTACAATATTATCAAATTCATAATAATATATGATATTCCAATTTTTGACAGATTCCGAGAATACTTGAATAGTAATAATAATAAATAATAATAGCTTCAGAAAAATGATCCAAAAATGTCTTGAAATCTTTTTTAATTATCTGAATCCATGAATAATGAACAAAAATGGTACAAATATATTTTGAATTATAAGTAGGCAAAATGCCAAAATTTAAGCTTTTTCAATCCATGAAAACTCAATTATTAAAGTTAAATTGCGTGAATATGAATCGTGATATGCGATTTTTAAATTGCGGGTATGAAAAGCGAAATTTTCGATATTAAATTCGTGTAATTACAAATCGTAATGTTTGATTTTTAAAACAGCCCAAGTTCGAATCAAAGTTTTTCTTTAAAATCAGATTAATATAAAATGTGATGCGTTATTTTGAAACAATTCGTGGTGTGCAATTTCTGAATATTTGATGAAAATTACAATGTGTTACTTTTAAATCTTGTAGATAGAAATCACCATAAGTGGATTCTAAGTCTCGTAAATACTAATCGCGACATTTGATTTGATTGACTATCTTTCTTAAAATAGTATTATAAAAATTTTACTTAATAAACTTTAATACTTGATAACCATTCAACAAACAGTCCTTTATAAAGTATGAGGTCTTTCTCTGAGAATTTACCTTCGAACAATTTAATATAAATAAAAAAACTATCGAAATCCTTAAAAATAAAACGATTGATATAAACAATCGAAATAAAAATGAATGAAGTAAAAGAATAGAAATACGTATTTATAAAAATCTATAATAAATGTAGCAACAAAAAAGTAAACTTACTTGATAGATCGCAAGTCTTTAAAAAATAAGACTCAAGCCTTTCAACAAAGAATTACACAATCAACTCAAAATTTACTACCAGAGGAAAGAGAATACTGTTTTGATATTCTAAGGTTGTTATATTGTTTCGCCTAATTGGTTTTCTGGAATTTGCCGAACTAAAGTCGCCAATTGAAAATTCGCCAATTAAAAACGTTTGAACTAAATCTCACATAGAATTTTTACATCTAGTATCCTGAAGTGTATTAAAATAAGGGGCGAAATACTTTACTATTTTAAGAAAATACTGACTTAAATCAGAACACAAGAGCGAAATATTTTACTACGCATTGAAATCGTAGAGTTAAAAACGTAATGCATACAATTAAAAGGTACGATTTTATACAGATCACTATTTTCGAAATAGTGTTATTTTCAATTTTTTAAACTATCGAATAAAATATAACACTTACAATTTATTTATTTTTTAAATTTTTCTTTTAGTTATAGTTTTCTTTTAATTTACTACCTGCTTCATCAGTATTACAAAAAACTCTTTCTCATTAATAAAGTTTTCTTCTTAATCATTTTGATATTTCAGTGTTACAAGACGTTATCTAAAGATCGGATAAACTTGAGTGTGAACAAAAGAGAAACCATTCAAATCAGATTTCCATATGAGGTGAACCGGGTTCTAATACCAGCGATGACTGGTCGATACGAATTCCGCTACTGGCTTCCACCGTTTACAGTGCTGACCTAATATATCCTCAGTGGTAGACAGACCATGGGTTAAAATCCCCTTACCGTCAGGCTAACCAGGGTATATTTTCGTGATTTTTCTTCCTATGTAACGCAAATGCGGGTTAGTTCCAACAAAAATTCATCCACCAAGGCAAATTTCTCCCAATGCCAGGATCCAGGGGTTGACTTGTTTTCTGTGTTGGATTCAAAATTACAAGGCTACGGAGTTGGTAGCCGTAAACTCTAAAATGGGGCGGGTGTTAAATGACGGTTATAAAATAAAATACATCAATAAAGAGTCGTGGTGGCTCAGGATGTAGAGCGCTTGTCACCCGAAGAGGTAACCCGGATTTGAATCCTTGAAATGGCTGGCCGATACGAATACCGCATCCGACTCGCATCGACCGCAGTACTGACTGAAAAAAATCCTCTGTGTTAGACGGATCATGCGCTAGAATCCCCTGGCCGTCAGGCTAATCGTGGGAGGCTTGCGGGATTTTTTTTTTCACTCCATGTAACGCAAATGCTGGTTAGATCCATCAAAGAGTCTTTCATGAAGGTAAATTTCACCAGGAGTTCTCTTGTCTTTCGGATTGGGTTGAAAATTACGAGGCTAAGGAGTTGAGCATTGGTAGTCATAGAGTCAAACTATCGTTCGGCTATTCAACAACGGTTATAAAATAAAAATTAAATTACATCTGTAAAGTGTGGCGTTATTGAATATTTGAAATGAAAAATGTTCTCTTATTATAAAATACATCAATAAGGAGACGCAGTGGCTTAGGGCAGCGGTTCTTAACCTATAGGTCGCGACCCAAAATTGGGTCGCGAAGCATATTTCTTGGGTCGCGCTGAGTCGAACCAAAAAAGTTAGTAATACACCAAATAATAAGTAATACCAACACCTCCTAGAAGAAGTCATTGTGGCTTACTCAGCCTAATTTGGACTTTTTTTTGGGTCGCGACATGAACATATTTCTCAAATTTGGGTCGCGGCTTAAAAAGGTTAAGAACCACTGGCTTAGGGTACCGAATTTAACACTTTTCGACTGGTTTTTGACGCATTATGTAAAACCAGTTTCTGACCGTCTAAAACCCAACCCTAGCTGTATCATATTATATTCTATCTGTAAAACCTTCAGAGGATAAAAAATTGGTGCAGGGCTGCAGTAAAAACATATAATCTTTCATAATTCTTGTTTAAAGATATTTAAGATCAAAGGTCAACAATATATGTTGACCTTCTGGGGAGTCAGAATCAGTTTCGATATTATTTTCTCTTTCCCAATGAAAAAAAAAAAATTTTTTAATGTATAGAACACTTTATTCACGTTAAAATATTCAAAAAGGTGTAAAAAAAATAATGTAGAATAAAATAAATAAAAAAATTAAAAATTAAACCTTGACCGGTATCGAATTCCAGACCCCCACGTCTACAAATTTCTTTGCTTACTAGCCCGTTGCACTAGAAATACCACGCCACTTCTCACACGCTGCTGCTACTAACATTAAGCTTAAAGAACTTACCTGCTGTGTTGAAACAAATATTTAGTTTAAGGCGAACTCTCCCGGTTAGTCAACTAATAAGGTTTGTATCCCATTGTGGGCCCCTAATTGTTATATAAAACATTTCCTTTGGTACGATTGTTCGGATCATGGTACCAAACATTCGGGCAGAGTTTAAAAATTATAGCCTAATATTAAAGGGAATTACGTGGTTTTGACGTGTGCGTGCCGACCCGATACACTTCGGTCCCCTTTTCAGCCTTTATATGCTTTTCTTGCATCTTTAACAAAGAAAGATACTTGTTTTTATGTGTAGAACGCATTTTATTCACGCTAAAATATCGAATATATTAAAAAAGAAGTTAAAATAAATTATAAAAAATAATTATCTAGATGCTGTCTCTTTGTTGAAGATGCGAATAATGTATATGATGGCCGAAATAAAAAAGGGATCCAAACGGACCGGGTCTGCTCGCAAACTTCAAAACCATGTAACTCCCTTTAATATTAAGCTATAATGTTACATCTCGGACCGAAAATAGAGAACCATAGGCCGAATAATCGTATTAATGTAAATTTTTATAGAGCAATGAACCCAAAACCTTCTTATGTAACTGGCCGGGAGAGGGTTCTTTAAGCTAATTATCCGTGGGAACACCGTGTATGGTGGGTCATGGTCAGTAGGACTGTGCTAGAGTAAAATTCGTTGAGCGGAGTGTCACGGGTTCGAATTCGTGTGGCGGTGAATTTTTAATTTTTTTTTTTAAATTATGTTATTTTTTTATGTATTTTTCGATATTTTAAAGGGTTCTATACATAAAAAATATTTTTTTTTTATTCGGGAAATAGCTAATGATGTGTAAAAGAAAGGAAAAATCCCGGATTATTTATTTATTTTATTTTATATTATGTTTTCAATATATTCGATATTTTAGCTTGAATAAAATGCGTTCTACATATAAAACAAATATCTTTCTTTGTTAAAGATGCAAATAATGCATATAATGGCCGAAAGAGGGACCCAAACAGACGGGGTCTGCTCGCAAACTTCAAAACCATGTAATTCCCTTTAATATTAAGCTATAAAGTTCAATCTCGAACCGAAAATAGAGAACTATAGGCCGAATAATCGTACAGTCCACACAAAAAAAACGAATCACCCAGAATAACTTTCGTTCTAATGATCGGATTTTCACGAACTAAGTGTCAATCTTAATGGTTCCTGGGGGTGACCTCAAATATGCTAATTAATTAGTGCTAACTAGTTATTAAGTTACGAAATTAGGCACAAAAACGTACTTTCTCTGAATAAACATACATTTTTTTTACATATTTGGATTCTTAACCTTCAAAACATAGGCGGTAGCCGCAATCTGGGAAATATGGTCCCCATAGTTTGGTCAGGAGAGCGATCCAAACTTCGTACCCCTTAATGTTAATTTAACTATTTACGTTTTTAGTCATATTTTCAAAACTAATAAAGCAATTTAAAGAAAATTGCACCCACTCATAAAACTCATTTACCCAAAGATAATTTCATGAAAAAAATAATTTTTAATAATTATTAATTATTTTTTATTATTTAATTAAATTGAGGATAAAAAAACTTTGAATTAAAAGGTATAAATTTTTTATACCATATTAATCTACATATTTTTCAATTGAAAAATCTAAAGTTCAACTGTTTTTATTTATTAGAAGCTGAAAAAAATTTAAATTAATAATTTTTAAAAAAATAATTTGGCGACAATCAAGAAAGGATTAAATGGGGCGATTAATATTAAAATGTGATAAACTTGTGAGGAACTTGACTTCGCGCGCGTAGTGTAAAATTTCATTCATATTTTTTTCGCTAATAATCGTTTGCTAATCTTTCAATTTTTATTTCTTTCTAACTATAAAATACAATGTTTCCTTTTTGGTCGCTTAATAATTTATTTGCAATTTAGTAAAGAAATTTGAATAAAACATTTTGAATAAAAAACACTTTATTCAAGGAATGTCTAGTTTTATAAAATAGGATATGATATGATCTTCTGATAGAATATGATTATACACCAGATCGTGCTTATTTAATGTGATTATTTTTTATTTTTTGATTTTGTTTTTCAATAACTGATACAATTTCAATAATATACATAGTATGCATAGATTTGGAATAATATATTTATCAATTTCTTGAATATATATTTTATAAATATTAATAAAAATACGTAGTCAACATTTTTAAGCATCTCTCACAACATCGCAAATTTCTCAACATCTTATAGGGTAAATTAACGAATGAAGGAGCACTAAAGCTTAGCTTGCCTTTAAGAAAAAATCATAAAAATTTCAAAATCTGTAATTTTAGCTAAATGATGGTGTCGACATATTTGTTATTAAATACAAATTATGTAAAAAAAAAATTAGATAACTTACAGAATAATGTTTTAAGCTTTCGGTGGTTTTAATAATAAGTAGTAAGATTACCAAGTTAAGGAACAGTTCTTACCAGTGAATAAACACTCAATTTTCTAGTGAATGAACACTTAATCTAGAGAATGTTTGATGCTCGTTAGGAATCCTTAGGCCACACAAATGTCCAAAAACAAGATTTTTCTTGGAATTACAACATATAACCACAGTTCAAGTAGAAAATGTTACTTTTTTTTCAGTTATGGAATGGAAAGTAAAATATGTTTGAATACATAATTCAAAAAAAAATATTTTTCATTTTTTTTCTCACAGTTTAATAGTCCGTTCTAAATTATGGATGTTTATCATTGCGTAATCTGATGATGTTTTTATTATTATTATAATTAGATCACTTTTTTGTTTACTCTTTTCCCATATTTTTTTAAGCTACTTTTCAATCTTTTTAAGTA